TGTCTCATGCAAGTCTGTATCAAGGATCTGCCTGGGAAGGCCACAGATCAGTGGAAGTATGTACCAGAAAGATGAAGGATCTGGGCTAGCAGGCTGAGAGATCTGTGCTTGAGCCAGGAAGCACCACTCAAGGTAAAGACCAGAGCTCCCTCGAAAAGAACCACAACCACCCTCAGCTTCAGCAAGGACCCAAGATCCTCCAACAATAATAGCTGGGTTCACATTAGGAAAGTCATCATAATGAACTTCTCCAGAAGAATCAACAGCACACCACCTCCCACTCCAGTTCTCTTTTTATGCTGTTGACAGCAATCCTCAGGTGGACCTTCCACATCCAGCACTGTACTGATTCAGTTCTGCTGTGTGTCACAAGTTGACCATTAGTTCATCCCCCACAGTCACTCATCTCTTATTGCTGAAATACCTGACCCACAAAGTTAAGGAGGAAAGGGCTTTTTTTGACTCATATTTGGTAGAGGTTTCAGCCCATATTCAGCTGGCTCCAAGGTAGGGTTGCATGGCGAATGGGAATCTCAGAGGAGACAGTCTATAGTAGTCGGAAGGTGGCAAAGCTACAAGGACAGACCGAGCCTTTCCATCCCTTCCAGCTTACCCAGATTCCTCGGGGGGAGGGTAGCTCTCATACCCTTAACCCTAGTGCCCTTGACTTCAGCATTGCACCAGGAGTCCATGCCAGAGTCACCCACCGTAGATCCAGCCGTCTCCAAAAGTGCCCACTTATGACCACAAGAGGCTTTGGGGGGACACCTAGACTTAAGCCGTAACAGGTGAGTTCCAGTTTCCTCAGTGAACATGGCTATTCTTGGACCTTTCTTGCCCCGTTTGGTCTGGATTTTGTGCTTCTCAGTACTGTCACCCTGAGGTTGTCTCCCCCATTTTCATGGCTTGGGTACCTGATTCCTAGGCTTTTAGTTTGTTCCATATCACTAATGGGGTGTATTCTGAAGTCTTTCTATATTTTAAAATTTCTTTTGCCTTTGATGATGAATTTGGGTACAAAACCTTGGATTTAAAAATATTCTTATTGTAAAATATGCAGGCATCTTACCATCTTTGGTGAAATTACAGATTATCCTTTTTAAAAAACTTTTGAAACAAATCTTACTCTTACATGGATTCTTTTATCCTTAATGTTTAAAAATTTCACAATAATATGGCTTAAAATTGGTGATTTGTCTTTTATTCATAGTATGGGAAACTTCTTATAGCTAGACCTATATCTTCTATCCCAGAAATGTCATTTCTTTGGTATATTTATGTTTCAGTTTTTTAAAAGAAATATCTGAGACTCTCCTACCACATTAACATTCTAATTTTCAATGTGTTTTTGTTTTTCCTATTCTCAGTTGTTTTATTCTCTAGGTTGTTTGTTCAATTAAATCTTGCAGCATTTCCTTCATATTTTGTTTGTTTTTATTTTTTTCATTCTGTTTTTACTGGTCATACAGATCAGTGGATTCATTTTTGCCACATTTACACGTGCACATAACCAATGTAAAACACTTCTAGCTCCTAGAGACATGCAAATCAAAACTACCTCTAGAGTCCACCTAGCCCCGGTCCAGCCAAGCTAATGCTGGAGCGTTTTTCAGATTGCTGTCAGCAGGTCTGTCCCAGAGGCCAGTCAGTTCCTGCAGAAAATTCTACAGATTCTGCACTAGTGAATGCACATCTGTGTGGCAGCTTGCACTGCTCAGCAGTGGCAGGAGACTTCTCCTAGTACTTAGTGTGTTGCATTTCCCATAAATCTTTTAACCCATTTCTTTAACTTATCATTAACTGGATGTGTATCTAACAGCAAGACTAAGTCACTGCTAAGCCAGCTCCTCCAGAGAGGAATCTAGAAATGAGTTTCCTGATGGCTGGAAGTGAGGAATGTTTATGAGAGCCACAGCTGGATTGTGTTGGACAAGCTGCAGGAGGCTGTGATACAGTGACAACCACTCTAAATCTGCAAATTTAAATAAGTTTAAATTTCCTCAATTAGGCTTCACGCCTGTCATGGATTGAGTTCCCTTTCTGTGTGTGATTTATGATGATGGGATGTTCATCATCTTAAATTTTGCTGGTCACAATTTTGGAGAGAAGAGAGATGACTGAAAGGTTCCCTCGGGCTGGAAATGACATGAGTTCTTTCATGATCCCACAAATTAGTCAAAATGGATCTCAAGCTTATACCCACCCACCAGAGTTTAACCTGCACCCAGGTTAAATAAAGAATGGAAATTATTTTTCCAAGCCATATTAATTACATGATATATTTAATGACTTCCTCTCATCCCACCAGCTGAATTCCTTAAACCTCATACTTCCCATCTACTTATGACGCTAAGTAGGCATTTCTTGTATCTCAGCACCCCTGTGAGTGCAGAGACCCTAAATTTTGCTTGTCAGTGTGTCCCTAACTGCTGATACCGTTTTTCAGATGCACTGTTTCCTTAGTGGATTTGCACTGACTTGATGTCACTTCATAATAACTACACGAAACCGGAGGTAAATTTTGCGACACAGCTGCCATGGATCCACTTATACTTGTGAATTTTGACATATGTTTTGAAAAGATAGCAATGGGCAATGTTTTTGTGTATAAATAAGAAACATTAGAATCACCTCGAAGACTTCCTCTTTTGTCTTTTCCTAAATCTAGGTGAGTGACATTCCTCTTCTACAAGCCAGTGTCTCACTCAACAGCAGAACACACGTGAGATGGTAGAGCCATGTAGTGCAGGTACTGTGTCACAGCACAGCGTGTAGTTCACATGCTCGTGGTGTTGGTATAAACAAGCCTACTGCTCCACAAGGCCTCTAAAAGTGCAAACCACACAACCCTCTGCAGTGATAAGAAGCAACTGAGCAGTGCTCACCCTGCTCACTTACCATCACTGTTTACAGTGCATCTTTGTTACTTACAAAAAATTCCTGAGAGGCAGGATGCTGTGTTACATGAGCAGCCACTTTGCAAATCTCCTGTTTTCTGTCTTTTCACTGCATACTTTTTCCTTGTGTTGATTTAATGTCATGATGTTTTGCTCTTCATGACCTTAGCACCAGTAATGGTAGATATTATATATATATATATATATATATATATATGCATATATGAGTATCTGCACATACACACATAACGTAGGTGGTGTAGCATACACCCTGAAACCCTCTAGATCTGTGTAATGTATCCTCCATCCTGTTTGTGCAACAACAAAATGCCCCAGCAAGATACTCCCTCTAACAGATCCTCACTGTGATGTGAGCGTGACTGTATTTCAAGTCTGTCTTAGCTTCATCTTTCTCCTTCTCCATTTGTCTGCGTGAAGACAGCGTCTCTTATAAGTTGTGCTATTATAAGAATTTCCTCACACATTCAATATACTTTCTCCCACACATTATATCCTGCCAGTGTTAGGACTCCATTGCTTAAAATTAGTTACTGGCTACCTATTGCATAAACGTAGTTTTATAAAAGTGCTACAGAAAACTCAATTTGACTTAGCCCCAATCTGATTCTCTGATCAGAGTTTTCTCCAACTCTCTGATTTACCTCATTGCGTTTAACCTGTCCCTCTTCCTTATTCACCCTTCAGTCCTAATTTTATTTTCTTGGAAGTTTGTCCATATTTGAGACAACACAAGTTGGCATCTCTCATAGTCAGCTCACCTGATAGCCGAATGCATAGCCGTCATTCTTCCATCTCAATATTTCAGCAAAAAAATTACATTATCATCGAGAGGTATTTGCAAAGCAAACATTTCTCATTTGTTATTTTGTACAATATAGAGGGAAAGTATTAGTTATTGTTTCTTCAAAATGCATCGGAAAGGATAAGAGAATAAACTCAGTTTAATTCACTTACATTTTACTGAACTCACCTAGGGGTTCTTATCGATGTCCTTAAATTCTCATTGATGTCTCTTAAATTAATCCAATCTTTTGGTAATATTTTCTTCTGCTGTGAAGTAAAACATGGTTGGTAGTTGCTCACAGTAATTAGATGTGCCAAAAAATTCAGTTGTTCTGATTCTCTACAGCCAACCTAGACAGATGGTCAGCTGGCAGGTGCCCAGAAATGCTGCTTCTCCCTCTTAAAGTGCTATCAAAACAACTAAACTTACAAATGATTACAAAATTATCTTACTTTTGTTTTACCAACTTGCCAATAGTTATGATTATTTGCGAGTTTTATTGCTTAAGGAAAATTATTTGGTTCAATGATAGTATTTTAGAGCTAAAAATCTGAGAATTCAGTTGTTATGATTTCTTTAAATTGATTATTAGTTTTATTTAGAACATTTACTCTGTAATTTTAAGTGCAGCATTTTATTGGGGAGGCAGCATTATACTTTTAACAATTTCAATCTAGTGTCAATTTTAAAAATACTAAATTTAAAACCGCAATAAAGGACACATATATCATACCAAAGTTAAAATAATTCAGTCAGTCAGCAAATAAGTGCCCAAGTCCCAGAGGCAGGTAATACAAGAATCCAAAATGAATTCTATTCTCAGAGGTGACAGAACACTGATTCTCCAGCTTGCTTGCAGGAGGCCCTGAGGTTAGAGAAACTTGGATGGAATTTCCTGTTTTACTGCATGAAATTTCCATGATGAAACTGGAGGATGGGAAGGGGAGAGAGAGCGAGATAGAGACAGAGAGTAAGAGAGAGAGACAGAATTGAAAGGCTTCAAATTCCAGATGTAGCATTTTATATTGAAATAAATGATACTTCATTAGACAATAGATAGGCTTTTCATTTTGGGTTTTATTGTCAGTCACCCCTTTGTTCTTTACTTGTGAAGGCAGGCTCTTTTTGTATCATCAGGTATGAAAGTTTCTTTAAACTCTATCTATGCGTCTCTCCTTCAGTAACACGGCAGCAGGTGAGCAGACTCACAATTTATGTGAAGTATACCTGTGTGCCAGGGTTAAATTCCTGCTTCACGAATTTAATAGCTCAAAGATCGACTTAATATTTTCAAGTTTAGCTTTGCACAGTGGCAGTATTGTAGTCAATGAGGTTTATCCAAGGCGCAATTTTTTCTAATATTTTCAAATTTACTTCAAAATGCTGTAAACAGTGCAACTACACACTGAAAATCTGTGTGAGTTTAAAAAATACTGACTTTAAATGATGAAGTATAGTATTATACAAATCCTATTTTCCAAAACCTACACTGTTTTTTATTAGAAGCAGAATGGAATGTGAGGGGTAAAACCACAAAGAAAAAGAGAATGTTCAGCTTGCCCATATCTGATTGAAAATCTCAGGGTGAAAAACTCATCATAATACTGTGGTTTTTATAAATCAAAAATATAAATTATGATTACCACTAGGGCAATGTAAATCAAGATCCCTATTTAATAGACTTAGGAAAGGCATTAGAGGGTTGTAACTGTTATATATTTAGTGTCTGCAACTTTTAAAGTTTGGCTTTACCTTTCTCCACTGTTGAATCCATCCACAGTTGAAACAAATCTAAGATTTTCCTGTTGGATGAACAGTTAATGAGTAGTGAAATCATTTGCCGCCTTGTGAGGGACTCCATCTAGCGAATGCATGTGAGCCTTTGGTAGGCATTGCAGAAGTTTTCTCAAATTTTGCCTGATTGGTTCTAGATCTTGCATTTCTCTCACAATAATATAGGAGGATACTATCTTTAAAAAGCATGTAGCATTCTGTGTTTCAGGTCATTTTAAATGTTTGGAAAACTAAGTAAAAACAGAGAAGAAAGAATTTTTTAAAAACCACTTACAGGAACATTTAGAAAGGTCAGTGGGAATAACAGGGAAGAGGCCCCCGGGCCTGACCACCTGACCCAGCAGGTGCAGACCTCCCTGCAGTGGGCCAGCACTGTAGCTGTCCACAGAGCTGCACAGGCCACCTCCAGGTCACCATCCCCTGGTACTGGGAATCAAGACAGCGCAAGCAAACGGTTCCACAGTGTGAGGATCCGCTTGTTAGGCCAAATGCAGTCTCAGCCAGCTCTGCCTGGGAATGTTAATTATGGAGATGAGTAGGAGCGGATGATGCATGCGGAAACCCCTGTGGAAGCTGCGTCTGCTTTCCCACAGCGTACGCGGTGCACACAGACGCTCTCCTGCTCCAGAGCACAGCGGGGCTGTGGTCCTGCTGCTCCGTGTTAATTAGAGAATAAATAAGTGGCCGACTGGAGTCCGTGGGCATATGTTGGTCAACTGTCTCTGTCTAATTAGGTTGTAAGCCCACTGCGCAGGGGCCTCGCTGCAGTCTATGTTCTGGAAAGCGTTGAGTGTCTTGCACAGCCCTGGTGAGCCAGAGACCTGGCACATGGCTGAGACAGAGCATAAAAAAGAAAACTCTGAGGAATTTTGCATGCGTGTGTGTGCGTGTGCACGTGTGTGTATGTGTGTATGTGCAGGAACTTGCAAAATACTAACTAAATATCCGAGTGAAGGATGGAATTTTACTTTGATGAAATAATGTCCTGCGTGTTATTCCATGCCAGATAACACGTGTGTAACATAATAAATGGTATATAACTGAATAAAATTCTCTATAAAGTATGTGTATGTATAGCTTCTAAATCAGATGCAGGATTTGCAAATATAATAAGCATTGAACAGAGTAGATATCAGTTTAATTTGAATCCCACGGCACCTACACACATGAATGTGTGAATGCGCTGTAGAAATAAACCAAGACCAACCAAGTGAGAAAAAGCATAGGCTGTCTGTGGCTCACTTGCTACAGCATAGTAATGCACTGCCACTGCTACCCAGAGGCTGAGGCGGAGGAGCATCAAAGCTTTAGCTAGAAGAAATGAAGTCTTCAGTTATGTCCTGATTAGTAGCTGTTGGCAAAAGGTAGTTGCAGGCAGGTTAATCAGAACCAAAAAGTCTTACATAATTGGTTAAGAGAATATATTTGGCTTTCTATGTTTGCTTCTAATTTGTTATTGGGCAGAAAAAAATACAGAAGCTGTCAGCTATTAATCAAGTGCTGGACATTTTTAGTTGATTGTTACAAAAATTATTAATTTAGCTCCCTGGTTTCACTAGAGATGGCAATTGCTCCTCCTCTAAGACTGGCCAGAGCGGACTGTCTTCCAAAGTTGCTCATCATGGATGAGGGGTTGGTGTCCTTGGAAGTTGGCTCTAAGTTGTGGATCAAAGTTCCCATTTTACATATGGTTTATCCCATTTTCTGCTTGCATATTCAGTTGCTTAGTGTAATAAATGTAGATTATTTATGTACATGGAAGTGCATTTGTGCATGTGCAATGATGCAGTGTAAGTGTGCTTTTTAATTGCACACATGGTTATGCATTCAGGTGTCATCTTGAAGTTTCTGAAGAGCAGATGCCCTCTGTCTTGTGGGTGTAGGGTGTGAGGTTCAGTAAGTCTCCTGCTCTCTGATGCCTGATAACTCCACCATGCTGGGGCTCTTATCTTCATAACAGTGCGGGGAAGCTCCGGAAGTAAAAGGCCACAAAAATTAAACTGTGCACATTTGCACATGTGTGTGTGGTGCTGGTGTTGAAGAACTCTCTCTTTTAAGTCTAGCATCAACCATACACTTCTTTGAATTCCTATAGCCCTAAATCACACTGCCTTTTCATCAGCATGTGTGTGCATACACACATTTGTCTACAATGTGTCTTCTGCCCCAAGTGGCCACAAGATGTCCAAGTAAAGGCCAAATATTATTTAACTTTTTTTAGTGTTTTCTTTTAGTATTAGCTTAAGTAAATACCTGATGATCAATAAAAACCATGTTTATTTTCTGTGTGTATTAAAATCTCTATCTTAAGAAAAGTTTGGGAATTGCATGAATAATTAAGTTTCTTCATACCTTAATGCATTATTAAATATTAACACCTGTACCAGTGATAAAGAATAAAATCATGGCTGACAACTAGCAGTGTGTGTAAAGTATTTGTTCAAGTTCATGTATCTTGAATGCAGAGAACTACTATCTCCATACACTGACTTTACGACAAATGTACTGTCTAAAACATTGGTTTTTTATGTACTTCCCCAGGTGTAAAGGAAACATATACAAGATATTTTAGAGTATAATAGAAAATATAGTGATCTTAAAGCCCAATTCAGTCTCTTTCATGGCTCTCTCATGCCACTCAATGCCCCTACGGTTAGAAGGCAGATGATCTACGCACACAGCAAAGCTCTGACACGGGCGGTCGGTGGCCTGATTGTTGCTCTCCTCCGCATCTGTGGTATCAGATCTCCTGACGACGTTCTTTCTACTCAACCAGTGCATTCTGTTGTTCCCGAATTGCTCTCTGCCTGTGGTTGCTGCACTCATAGTGAGAACCACTGCCAGCCAGACTTAAGGCTCAACCTCCCAGAAACAATTCCAACGAAAGTGATCAAACCCTCCTAAACACTCTTCAGATAGTCCAGAGCAAGCCCCAACATCTATGGAAAATACGCTCCAGCTTTATTTCTGAATCTCCATCTTGGCTCCATTTGGCTCCTTATTCTCTTCCCTTCTTTCCACCAGATAAACTCTGCATCTGGAAAACGGATTTTATGGCACTCTGTTGGTTTATTTTTTAAACTGAGATCCATTTTGATGATTGGATGAGTACAGCAGTCAGTTTCATAACTGGAGGTTTGGATGCCCTTGCTGATCTCTGTGAATTGTTGGAGAAGAGTCTGTCTGCTCTAGGACAAAGGCCACCAAGGATGCCACCTGCACCAAATGCAGTTTGAGTGGGGGTTGAGAAGTGCAGCGTCCTGGTAACCCTAACATGGACATGATGCATGTTCACACTTTGCCTCTAGAGTCTACCTTCCTCGTTCTGCAGCTAGTAATTATGATACAATTTTCATTTTAATATCTCCTTGGATGACGCACTGGCTTACTGCATGCATCTTACAATTAGCGAGGGCTGGTCTACTGCCTGTCTCTTTCTCCTTTGGAGCGTATATACCATGAAACCTTTCCCCACACCATATTTCTAATATGCAATTCCTGTTGACCTGTAATTTTAAAAAAAACACAACATTTTGACAACAACATCAATAAAATCACACCATGCAATAAAACATCTAAATCAAATAAATGCATTCTTCTCCTTTGAACACTTTATCGATCATTACTTTGGGAACTTATGTGTAATTTCCACAATCAAATGGAAGTTTCTAGATATTGATAACTAAAATGATTTATTATTTCAACTTTAGACATAATACATAACAAGTACTTAGACAAGCACTTTATATTTATTGTGTAATTCATTTTTATGTCATCTGTTTTTATCAGCATTAGAAGTATTTTCTGTGTGTGTCATACTGGGGACTGAACTCAGGACCATCACGCTATGCTACACGTTCATCCCATTAGTTTTCCTTTTTCTATTTCATTTCATTTGGAAAATAGGGTCTTGCCAAGTTACTAAATTGCCAGGGTTACATTCAAAATTTCTATCTTTCTGCCTCTGCCTTCCAGAGTGCTGGCATTACAGCTGTGTGTCTGGCTGCTGTGTCTGGCTATTTTACACCAATTTTAAGTATAGAAAATGGGCCTTAGAGAAGATGCCTTGACCAACACCATCTAGCTAATGAATGACAAAAACAAGATATTTTCTTTCCTCTTTTGCTTAATGTTTTGTCACATATTATACGTTTCATTATTTATATTGATATTGGCCTCTTCACTAAAATGTAAATCTTTAAAGGCAGAAATTTAATGTTTTGTTCACTATTGTAACAGGAATAATCAGTGGATTCCCTTTAGTAAATTTCCTATCCTCTCTCTCACAAACTTATAGATGAGGTGTGATTGCAAACTACATTTCAAATTTTTAAAATATGTTACAGTAAAAAACACTTTGCCATTAGTTACCTTCAAAATCGTCCCCCTGGCTTGGCGCACACTCATCTCATTGTTCTCGCCACTTCTGAAGCAGCTCTGAAGTACCTTTCAGGAGTGGTTTTACTCGGGCTGTTATGGCTGTGTTGATATCCCGGACTGATTTGAAATATTTACTTTGCTAACTTGGGAACAGAGCCAGACATCAGATCAGTGAATACGGTGGATAAAGACACATTGTAATGTGTTGAGGACGCTGCCTTCCTTTTTTTTTTTTTTTTTTTTGTCTTTTTCCTTTTTGGGATCGAACTC